TCTGGGTTCTCAATTCTATTCCATTGGTCTACGTATCTGTCATTGAACCAATACCAGGCAGTTTTGACTACTGTGGTTGTATAGTAGGTTTTGAGATCCGGCAATGTGAGACCTCCTACTTTGTTTTTCTTCAGTAGTGCTTTGCTTATCCAAGGTCTCTTTCCTTTCCATTTAAAGTTAGTGATGATTATCAGGCTTTTAAGGTATAAAGGGCTTGTAGGTACATATGCATTGCCTCTACAGTGTACCAAGCAACATCTTGAGTAGAAGGGTATATTTGTGTCTAAGAATGTAAGAATGTCCTTAGGAGAAACAGCTTGTGCTTTACTGTTAACCTAAAAGTTGGTGGTATGAACCCACCCAGCTGTGCCATGTAAGAAAGGCCTGGCAATCTGCTTCCAAGAAAACTTTATGGAACAGTTCTACTCTGTAACACATGGGGTTGTTATGAACTGGAATTGACTGGATGGAAATGGATTTATTCTTATAGTATCTCTAGCCAAAATAGTGTCTTAATTGGCAAGTTCTTTTAGGCAAATCCTGGATGATAGCTTGTAAAACATGCCCCAAGTTTTGCTGTACAGTTAGCCTCTGACTTACAACGAAGTTCCATTCCTATGACTCTGTTGTAAGTTGGTCCTCAGTAATGTTTCCCATATCTTTTGCATTTATTTTCACGTAAATTCCTCCTACAAAGATGCAATGTTCCAGATACACTGGAAAATACTATAGTTCTTCCAGGAATCATGCAATGTCACTATAGCTTCATCTGTTGCAGCTATGGCCTGAGTAAACATCCGTAGGTAGTATACCTTGAAGGTGGCAATTGCTGAATCACAGCTGTCATATTAGGAGGTAGATACACTACTTTTACAACTTGGTTTAAATCATTTGCATGAAGAGGATGTCTTGGGCTATTATCAAGTAATGGCTCTCTGGCATGTACGCAGTTCAATTGTTATATGTCGTTAGAGTTGAACATTGCCCGACTTCTATCAGTTAAGATGCCTGGTACCACCTTCATTATGGACCATGCCATAGCCGGCTATGTAACAGTGTTCTGAACGCTAATTCATAATACTGAATATCTGAGAATGATAACATCAGTAAATTAAGTGCTGCAACATCGTATGTAGTACATATTACTAACAAGATGGACAGAAAAAATGATGATTGTAAGTATATTCCTCATCACTTTAATCCATGTTAAGCTGGTGACTACCTTTATATCTTTTAGTTAAAATTAAAAATCAAACTATTTAATGCAATTAAATTCTCTATATAAAAATGAGGCATTTCATTTTAATTTATACGCATATCCTTTCATATGATTAGTTAATAGCTATCAGATCAATGTGTAATGCAATTGAGTTTGAAAAATACTTCGGGAAAAACATCCAAAATTACTTGTAAATTTAAAATATCTACACAATACATTTATACTTTCAGTCTTATCAAGTTTTTTAGCACATGACACATAATATGAGAAAGTCACTAGTCTCGACAAAGCTTACTCATTGTTTCATCTGCTAGTCACTCATTCAACATTTTATTGATTTCTCACTATCTAAAAGGAGCTCTGGTGGCGCAGTGGTTAAGGTATTCAACTGCTAACCAAAAGCTGGGCAGTTTGAACCCATCAACTGCTCCAGGAGAAAGATGAGGCAGTCTACTTCCATAAAAATTACAGCCTTGGAAACACTATGGTGCAGTCCTGTCTTATAGGATCGCTATGAGTAGAAATCAACTTGATGGCAGTGGGTTTGGTTTGGGTTTGGACTGTCTGCCTGGCAAAGTGTTAGAAACTGGAAACATAAAGGTCAAAGTTCATGCCTTCCAGGAAATCTCTCAGTTTAGTATTGTCAGTGTGTGGTAGAACACACCATACACACAGTAAGCACCAAGGGACCTTATTTTAGTGGTGCATATTCCTTCTTCCAACTCTAAAGTTATATTTACCTAAACGAACAAAACCCATTGCCATAGAGTTGAACTCATAGAGAACCCATAGGACAGAGTATAAGGGCCCCATAGGCTTTCCAAAGCTGTAATTTTTACCGAGCCCACTGTTACATCTTTCTCCTGGGTAGTGGCTGGTGAGTTGAACGTCTGAACTTTCTGTCAGCACCTAAGCATTTAACCACTGTACCACCAGAACTCCTTATGTTTACTTAAGTGTCCTAAATCGACAAGTTATTTATCCGAAATTAAACAATCCCATCTAATATACTGGGATTAAAGTTTCTTTAATTCTGACTATGAATTTAAAACGACTACTCTATTCTCTACCTAGCCAATCCGTTCGTCGACCATTAAATTCAGTTTTAACACGTCTAGGAGGCTGTGCTACCATTCTGGAAGTTTATATAATAGAGTTCACTTTGTGTGTGGGATGGGGTGGGGAGGGAAACGATCATTAATTACAGTTTCGTTTGAGAGAGTCTGCCAGGCTTTTAAACAGCAGAAATGCGGTAAGCGGATAAAGCTTTCCTTATTTATTAACAGAAGTCGCACGGGAGCTCCCGGCGGAACCAGGGGACGTGGGGGGCCCTCAGCGCTGCAGTGGTCAGTGGGCGGGTTAGGCTGCTTGACCCATCCCTGACCCCACCACCTCCCGCCTGTAGGGCTCTCTGGTCTGGGAACGCAGCCGCAGTCCCGAGTCTTGCGAGTGCGGGGCTACAGCAAAGACCTCCTGGGCTCGGAACAGGCGGCGACAGGGCGCACGGAAGTGCGCTCGGCTCACCCTAGTCGCAGGCCAATTCTCCTCCTCCACTTCCTCCTTCGCTAGTCAGCTCAGCTTCCCCGGCCCGCTCCTCCTCCTCTGCTGCCTCCTCCCCCTGACCGCCGCAGCCTTCGGCCCGGGATGTGCGGCGCTCACTCCGGCAGTCCCCAGCCCGAGGCGCAGCGCTGACCGGCTGAGCGGGAGGGAGGCGAGCGAGGGCCGCCGCCGCCGCCCCGCGCGCACGGCGCCCCACTTTCCAGGCGACCTCCCAGAAGCTCAGCCTCCTGCCTCTCGCGGCGTGGTGTCTACCTCGTTGGGACGCCAGCGGCGGGCAAGTTTCGGTGCGCACAGGAGGCGGGCCGCGGTCACCGTGCGCGGGAGGGGTGGCCGCGGCTCCGGGCTCGCCGCCCCGCGCGCATTTCGGCGATGGCTTCTCAGCTCTGGAGGCGGCTGCGCCGCAGCCCTCGCGATCTCCTGCCCCTTTTCTTCGCACTTTTACTGCCTCTTTGCGGCGCCTTCAACCTAGACGTGGACAGCCCTGTGGTGTACTCTGGCCCCGAGGGAAGTTACTTCGGCTTCGCGGTGGATTTCTTCGTGCCCAGCGCGGCTTCGTAAGTAGCCGCATTTCGAAGGGGAGTAGCCTGTCCCACCGCGCGCGCACCCACCCGGAGCTTCTCCGGAGAGATCGCCAGGGCGAGTGGGGGGTGGGGTGGGTGGATCCCGGCGCTTGTGTCCCTGGTGGATGAAATGTGGGAAGATGAACTCCCTCGGCACCCTCTCCTCCGTTCCCCACTTTTCCCCTATTTAAGGTGGTTGAGGGTGGAGGAAGAGCCTTGAAACAAACCTGTACTTAACATTCAAAGTTCGAGACACGCAGTAAATCAACAAAGGGGGGTCCTGCCCGGTTCCCCGCAGCTTCTGCTGGTGTCAGGGACTTGGTCAGTTTCGTCTCCTGACTTCTTTTTCTCCTCTACCAGTTAGCCTTACAAGTGGGCTTTTTCTTCTTCATGCACTCGACACCGGTCCTTTTCCTTCGCTCTCCCTAAACAAACCCTCCCCCACTCTTTACTCTGTCTCACTCTGTTTCTCCACACTTAACCTCTTTTCCAGACATTCAGATGGTTAAAATGACCATTTTATCGTATTGAAATACGTTGTGTCTTATCTCTGGAACTGTCAGATCTTTGCTCATTTGAAGTTGAATAGACAAATTGAACGTGTCATCTGTTCCTTTTATACTGATTCACTATTTAGGTCATTGTTCAGAAAGAACAAGAGTGCTGAGTTTTCACTCACTGCAAGTCACTGCAGCACTTAAGAATTCAGTTATGTTTTGAAATTGTCAGCTTTCCGTGTTGCGAGGACCGTCAGGATTTTAGCAGAGGTTTTTTTTTTTTTTTTTTTTGTCATTATTAGATTAAAAGTTGTAGTTAACTTAGTTGTACTGAACGTTGGTCAGTCTCACCTTTCCACCTCCATATTAGCTTTAGAAAGACTGATTTAATGAGTATCTAAGTACATGCATCTTCTTGATGTATGTTTGCTGATGTTTAAATCTTGTTTCAAGAAAAGAAAACTGTTCTTAAGGTTCTTGCTCAGCTCTTGGAAATTGCAACAATTTTTTCTTTAAATTTTTAAGTAATTTTGATGTTCAGTACTGGGGTAGGCCCATTTTTCCAATACATATATGCCTTATTCCAGGGTGGTTAAGTAATTTTCCATGGCTAATAGAGCAACTCAGCAGAATTTTGTCTTCTAAGCGTTTTTCAGAGTTGTTGAATATCATTCATTTTGGTTGACAGCGTTTGCAGCAGTAGTAGATTGGATGCAGTTAATGGAAATTAAACATTGTTTTATGTGTTGTTGTTGTTTGCCGTAAGGCCCCGACTCATAGCGACCCCTTCTTGGGTTTCCGAGGCAGTATCACTACGGAAGTAGGATTGCCCAACCTTCCTTCCGAGGAGTGGCTGGTGGTTTTGAACCGCCAGCCTTCTGGCGAGCAGTCAAGTGCCTTAGGCACTATGCTACCAGAGCTTTTTGTTTTTGTTTTATGTAGCAAACTTAATTTTGTTTGCTGTTTCCGGCTTCAGTTGTTTCTATGTGACCAGAGAACAAATTCTCCAAAAAGATAATCATTAACTTTAGGCAAACTTTACCATCTTCTTCTTTGATTTAATCATCTTAATAACCCTTGTTCTTTTTTTTTATTTGTGAATTTTTTATTTGTGAAACAGTGAGACAGAGTAAAGAGTGGGGGAGGGTTTGTTTAGGGAGAGCGAAGGAAAAGGACCGGTGTCGAGTGCGTGAAGCAGAAAAAGCCCACTTGTAAGGCTAACTGGTATAGGAGAAAAATAAAATATTTTTAAGTTTAGGTCTTTGTGGTACAGAGGATTTTAGTTGTTCCCAACAGTGCTCTTAGAGATTTAATTTACATCAATTTTACATCTACAGTTAAATTAATTAAAGTATTTAAATTAGCAAGAGTTAACACTTAAATACTTCTTCAAAGTTGATGGGGTGTTTTGCAAATGTTACTATTCTGTGTAACCTTCTGAGCTAAGTGTAAAGCTGATAAACTTTAATTCTCATGGAAAATGCAATAATATTGAACTGTTGGCATGAGATATTTTTATTATTATTATTTGCATGGCACAGTGGATAATCTTTGACTAGCGTTATAGTCTGTGAATATACTATGACTTCAGATGTTTTTATGACCTCACATATGGGCCTTCAATGTTGTTGTTGTTGTTGTTTGCCGTCGAGTCGACCCGACTCATAGCGACCCCCTCCTTGGGTTTCCGAGGCAGTATCACTACGGAAGTAGGATTGCCCAACCTTCCTTCCGAGGAGTGGCTGGTGGGTATGAACCACCAGCCTTCTGGTGAGCAGTCAAGTGCCTTAGGCACTATGCTACCAGAGCTCCTATGGGCCTTCAATAGTAAGGTAAAATTGAACTGAGTTTGCTTTCATGTAATATTTTGAAATTCATCAGGTAAATTTGTTACTGATGGAACTAACTCTAAGTAAGGGTAGCCTAACTGGGAAAAAGAATAATATGAATTGAGTTTTTTTCAACTCAATATTTAAAAACAAAAGTTTCTGCTCACAGAGCTTTTGAAATGTAACAAAGATTAATGTAAACTGACATTTAATTTTGTGAAAAGATATTCTTATATTTAGCAAGCATTCAAATCCAAAGATACATAGGAATGTCATTTATAATATTGTCAACTGGGTAGTAGCTATCTGAAAAACATCCATATAGTAAAAACGTGTTTTTGCTAGTGAAGGAACTCCTTTCTTCTGAGGGAAAGATGTCTAGATTACTGAGGAAGCAATACTTAGGAAGTGTACATCTGCCACTGCTTCTGGTTTCTGTACATATCTAAATACCTTGGGAATGTGATATAATCATTTTATGTCTTGTTTTCCTTGTTATAGAGTAGTATTACTGAATTATGTCCATATGGTGGACTAATGGGATCAGCTTTTATGAAAATGATGGAAAAATCAAGTACTAAGTAAAAGTGTTAAGGTATCCCTCCAACAATTTCTGCAGAAATGAGACAAAGGTTTGAAATTAAATTCACAGAAATAGTGATTACAACAAAAAAGAAAAATTTTAAAAAGCATTTCATAGGATTTTTTCTTGTAAGCATTATTTTATAGTGGCTAAATTTCCAAACTTTCTTAAAATATAAAGATCAAATGGAGACCTAGAATTATAGTCATGCTTTTCTTGTGGGGAATAATTGGCAAAATTAAAAATTATACCCTAAATTTAATTACAGTAATAATACTTTACACTGGTAAATCTATTGCATAATTTACAAAGCACTGCCACTTATGAGGGAACTCTGGTGGTGTAGTGCCTAAGGTGTTTGACTGCTAACCAGAAGGCTGACAGTTCAAACCCACCAGCTACTCCTTGGAAGGAAAATTGGACAATCTATTTCCATAGAAATACTACCTTGGAAACCCAAGAGGTCACCATGAGTTGGGACCGACTTTACGGCAGAATTTGGTTTTATTTTTGGCCACTTATGATATCTCATTCATTCTACAGCAAAAACCACTAGAGGAAATCGGGAAACAGATAAAATCCTTCCTTTTACAGATGAGGAAATAGTGGCACAGAAGAGATTGCAGTTTTTAGTAGTTGTTTGGGCAGGTTGTTGGCTATGAGGGGCAAGTGGAGGCTCAAAAGACGAGTTGTAACATTCAAAATTAATTTTGTTTTTATATTCTAATTTTGCATTTTTAAAGAAAATAATTGGACAGTTTCCTTCTTTATTCTTTGAAATATAGTTACCTGATACAGTTTCATTTTATATACACACACCCACATTATGTTTCATAGTGCTGTCTGCAATGAATAACACTGACAAGGAGGGGGAGAACAGTTTGTGTTCAGTGGATTAGAATTCTTGCTGTTCTCCCCCCCCACACTAAACACTAAGGGGGGGGGAGCTCTGGTGGAGTAGTGCCTAAGGCATCTGATTGCTAGATAGCACCTCGGAAACCCAAGGAGGGGTTGCTGTGAGTCGGGATCCACTCGATGGTGGTCTCTCTACCATGGAGTTACTCTAGTTTGCATGTTCCCATGATCCAATGGGTGTGGGTGATTGTGCCCTAGTAGCAGAAGGGCTTGCAGAATATTCTTGATTCTCAGCCCTGACTTAACATTAAAATCATATTTTGAGCTTTTTAAATAAAACTTCTGCCCTAGCTGCATCTCCCATCTCAAGGATGAGCTCTGATTTGGTATCCAACAACCTATGGGCCATTATTCCTCAACTATCCCCTTTTAATTCAGTTTGACCAAAAATGAGCTCATTTTTTCCCAAGAGTTATGAGTGGTACCTCCCTGCTCTATTAATGGTGCCATCATTTTCTCTGTTACCCTGGAAACAATTTTGTATTCCTCCTTCTTATTTTCTATTTTTCTTAGTCTCTCCTCCTACACTCCCCTCAGTAGCAGTCACTGATTAGTCATCAGCCAGAAAGTCCTCGAAATTCTTCCTTAATGTTTCTTGCATCCATCTCTGCTTTCTCCTTCTCTTTACCCTTTGTCGTTGATTTGACTCCTGAACTCATGGTGAACCCATGGTGCGTCAGAGTAGAACTGGGCTCCATAGGATTTTCAGTAGGTCATTTTTGGAAAGTTGATTGCCAGTTCTTTATTCCAAGGCACCTCAAGGTGGACTTAAGCCTCCTAACTTTTGGTTAGCAGCCACGCCCATTAACTGTTTGTACCACCAGGGACTCCCCAGTTCTGCTGATGTTGATCATTTGGCCTGTGACTCATGACAACCACATGCACAAAGGTGGTGACCCCATGCACAAAGGATCAAAGCAAGGCCCAGTCCTGGGCCATCCTCGTGATCAGTTTCAGAAACAATTGTGATCCATAGTGGTTTTTTTTTTAAACATTTTTTTCAGTGAAAATGTACACAGTAAGTTAGGTTCCCATCTGACAATTTCTGTAGGGATTGTTCAGTGACATTAGTAACATTTTTCACAATGTGTCAGCATTCTCTTTAATTGTGTCCTGCTTGTTCCATTTCCAGTAGTTTCCCTGCACCATGATCCCTAGGGTTTTCATTGG